TTTTTAACATTAAAATGATTGACATTTGTATCTGATCGTCAAACAAGTACTTGTCCATATTGTCCATATTGAGAGATATTGCTCTGGAACAGCATTCAAAATCAGCCATTTTGAATACATGTATATATATATATATATATATATATATATATATATATATATATATATATATATATATATAAAATTTGAATATAATCAGTCAATGCATTTAAGAGATATGGCTCTAGAAGCCCAATCATCCATTTGCCAGTCATCCATTTTGAATCCAATCTGACGTGCAACAGGAACCTGTAATGTCTAATGTATGTACCAAGTTTGAATGAAATCCATCCATAAATGCCAGAAATGCTTGATATTTGATGATTTTTTAGCACAAAAATGGCCACCATTCGGCCATTTTGAATAGGATCGTCAAACCAATATATCTGTCTATCTATGACATGATGTATAATGAATATTTAAAATTTGAACATAATCAGTGTAAGCAAGTCAGACATATGGCACGAGAACCACATTCATTAAAACAAAATGGCCGCCAGTCGGCCATTTTGAATCTTATCTGAAAACAAAATGATTTGCCTCAAGGTCCCATAATGTCTAATGTATATACCAAGTTTGAACAAAATCCATCTGTAAACAGCCGGGAAATGCTTGATTTTGATGCTTTTTTTAGCACAAAAATGGCCACCATTCGGCCATTTTTAATAGAATGGTCAAAACAATATATCTGTATATCTATGACATGATCTATAATGAATATTTAAAATTTGAACATAATCAGTCAAAGCAAGTCAGAGATATGGCACTAGAACCACATTCATTGAAACAAAATGGCCAATCTTATCTGAAAACAAAATGATGTGCATCAAGGCTCTATAATATCTAACGTATATACCAATTTTGAACAACGGCCATCTTAAATCAGATCGTGAAACAAATTGACGTGCATATGTATAATATCATGTATGTGTGAAGTTTGATTGTGATTGGTCTAAGCATTGATAAGATACAGGTCCGGGCGCACACACGGACGCACGCACGGACACACGGAGGTCAAAACCTAAGAATTATTAAATTTAATAAACGAAAAGTATTCAATCTAGTTGCCGGTCATGTACTTCTATCATTGTTTATTTTTTGTCTTTTTGAGATTACTTGTATATTGCCATAACTCTTTGTTTCTTTGTTTGTAGATATACCACATACATAGGTGACGATGACTCGTCCGCATACAGGGCTGTGAGGTACACTTATCAAGACGAGGGGATTATCGTGAAAAAAGAAAAATGTGCAGGCCACATTCAGAAGAGAATGGGCACATATTTAAATAATTTATGGCAATCCAAGAAAGTTAACTATTTACTACAAATATTTTAGTTGTGTTTTACTAGTAATAGGGTATGACAACTGACTGCTAATGTCACAAAATATTATCTATACTAAGTACTCATTGTTTTTTTCTTTCACTACCCAGGATACAAACTTGATGATAGATATCATTAACTGGTCGAGGCAGATTAATCAAAAAACTTGTCAATGCATTTCAAGTTTTCTACGGCATAGCTATCCGGTCAAACAAAGGTTAATATTATTATCTTTCAATGTATCAAATTATCTGGAATAATTTTTCTATTTTTTTAAATTCCATTAAAAGGGACTATTATTAAATTTTTTCATAAGCGCCAAGAGTTTATTTAGTTACTCTCCGATTAACATTCATCTATATTTTTTTTTTTGTAGGTGATGTGTCTGCAAATTATGCAGAAGGCCACAAGGGTCATTTTGAAACATTATTCAAGTACTACAGAGAAACCTCAGCATGTGGCATATGGCAAAATGATAAATTGCTGGGAACTAAAACCTACAAGCCATTAAAACGACCGATTCCGGCAGCAGCTGGAGTGGAGTTACAGCCGGTTATTGACAAGCTGTCTAATTTGACACTGTTGGAGGGGGCAAAGAACTGCTATACACAGAACCAAAACGAGTCAATCCCCTTCTGTGGGGTTACCTGCCCAAGGAACAAAACCATGGTGCCGATGAGATGGTTTTGGGGCTGTGTTTAGCTTTTGCTCATTTCAACAGTAGCTTATTAAAATACAACAGCAGTTTGTTCAATGATATAGAGTTTAAAATTCCCTCCAGCTGCTTGACTACCTGGAGACAACTTGATGAAGAAAGGATTTATCATGCAGAATATAAAATACGCCCGACAGAAAAAAGCAAAGAAAGGTGAACAAAACCAAGAGACTATCAAAACTGGACCATTTTGAATATGAAGAAGGATCTACGTATGAATCCGGTCAGTTCACTGGTACAAGTACCGGTAATGTAAATAATCCAATAGTGCGTCGCCATTGTAAATCAAAGAAAGCTTAGAAAGAACTCCCATGTGCTGAGAGTATTATAACACATTAAATCCAATTCGGAATTACTTAGCTGAAAACTAATTATGCAAATCAGAAAATTAATATGAACAGATTTTAGTGTAAAACTAATGAGGTCTGCACAATGTAACAGAAAATCTGTGTACCAAGTTTAATTGAAATGTGATTAGAACCAAAAAATTATGAATTATTACGCTAATTAGGGAATTAATATGAACAGATTTTTACCCCAAACTAATTAGGTTTGTACATTGTCCTAGAGCATTTTGTACTAACTTTCATTGAAATGGAATAATTAGTACTTTAGATATCAGTGTGAAAGCTTAAAATTGGTTAATTATGCAAATTAGGTAATTAATATGTACAGATTTTAACCCACAATTATCAAGGTCTGTCTATTGTCCTACAGCATCCATGTACAAACATTCATTGATATGTGATGATTAGTACTTGAGATACCCGTGGAAAAGCTGAAAATTAACTAATTATGCAAATTAGGTGATTAATATGCACAAATATTTATCCGAAACAATCAATCTCTGCATAGTCCTTGAGTATGTAAGTACCAAGTTTCATTGAAATGTCATGCTCACTACCAAAAGCTGAAAATTAATTAATTATGCAAATTAGGTAATTATATGTACTTATATTACCATAAAAACTATCAGGTCTGTGCAGTGTCATATGACATCTATGTACCAAGTTTCATTGAAATGTGATGATTAGTACTTGAGCTATCAGTGGAAAAACCGAAAATTGACTAATCATTATGCAAATTAGGTAATTAGTATCCACGGATTATTACCAAAAACTAATCAAAACCTAGCATTAGTTCAGAGCATCTATACCACTAAAAAATAGCTAATTATCATGCAAATTAGGTAATTAATATGCACGGATTTTTCAAAAACTAATCAAATCTGCGCATTTGTTCAGAGCATCTATGTATCAAGTTTCATCAAAATCCAATGAGTGGTTCTTTAGATATCAGTGGAACAGTCATAGAACAGCTAAAAATTAGCTAATTATCATGCAAATTAGGTAATTAACGAGCATGGATTTTTACCAAAACCTAATCAAATATGTGCATTGGCCCAGAGCATCTATGCACCAAGTTTCATCAAAAACCAATGTATGGTTCTTGAGATAGCAGTGGAACAGTCGGACACACATACACACGCATACCGTATTACCCCGGGCACGCGCCCAGGGGCCTGAACATACAAAATCGGGAAAAATTGGGGGTGTGCGCTTACCAGAGGACCTCCCAAAAAAGTTGTTTTTGTGATTGTATGATAAGGTAAAATAAAGGAATGCTTTCGTACACTTTGTACACGTACTTATTTCTTGATTTATGCGAGGTTTCAATAAACGTGAGTACTCGGTCAAGAACTGTGGGAACACTAAGACACAGGGTCGAATTTCAAGAATAAAACTTGTTTTATGTCAGCGAATGAAGTTGTATTACTCACTGAAATTGGTTACAAAGTATGGTAAGTATTGTAATCAATGCACGGTTACTTTTTTAGTAACCGTCATCAGTGCAAGTCGAAAAACTACCGCTTGTATCGCGGGAAAAACTACCGCTTGTAATCCAAGATGGCGATGACCTCATTAGCATAATTATGTTCACGCACGTATTGATACATCGCATCGTAATTACTGAAGAATAGCAGACAGGGTTATAAAACAAATAAACCTTTTATTATTGATGTGAAATGTTTAAAAACTATTACATAAACATATCCAAATGGCGATACATAAAAAACAGACTGAAAATAAACTCTGGTCGACCTCATTAACATGATTTATTCACGCACCCACACACATGACAAAATTATGATGCAACAAGTTCCC